TCAAATAAACTATGGTTTACAGTAACGAATGTTACCGAAACTCAACAAACATTACCAGATAATTACCGACGCTATATTGTGATTTTACCGCAATTATAATATACGAGAAAAATGGCCCGTTGAGGAAGGATACAACGGGCGCTAGGTTGACAGTGCTGTCTATTTTCTCGGTACTTTAATTTATACAAAATATAGTCATAGGCATATCCCTAAACCATGCACCTAATCTCATTCATGACAAAAGTCGCATTTAGAGTTTCTTTCAGGCAACTCTACTTGGGAGGCCCCCTACACACACACTCCAAAACATGTCTACCGTCCCATTCAACGAAATATAATTATATACTTTTTCCAGTGTCCGCCCCCTCCCAGAAAATTCTACCCCCGCCCCCGAAAATTTCATGTACCCCCAACCCTCTCCGGAGAGGAAAAAGTCTGAAAGAAACACTGGTCGCATTTGTAGATCATACAAACTAAAGGAAGAATCTGGGCGGGGCTTCGCCCCTACCGGAAGAGATGCTTGAAAAAAAAGGCACGCTAAACACTTTTTAGATTAGAAAATGTTCCCCCCTTCGGGGAGGAAAAAGTCTGAAAAAACACTGGTGTCGCGCTTAGCCACTACCCGAAGAATTGCATTAAAGAAATTGCAAGAAAACCACTTTTTAGATTAGACACATTAATTAGGCGGTAATTTTATTATAGAGTATCGATGAAGAAATTTCTTTTGAGTTGGGGAGGGGGGGGGGGGGCTCAGACGTTCTTACTTGGGGGGTGGGGCTTCGCACCTACCCGAAGAATTGTATGCAAGAAACTCTTCACGCAAACCATTTAGATTAGACAAAATTGCCTTTTTATTCAATGTTTACTCGAGAATCAATGACGTCATATTACTGTGTACACTCTCCGGCTTGATATTATTTTCTACTATATGACGTCATACTTCGTTTTTCGAATTACTATGCATGTTTTTAATTTGCTTGTGTTTTCTCTAGAGCGTTCTTGTCAGATACATACACAGATAGATAGACAGATAGATACACAGACAGCGACACTATTAGCATTAATACTATTTTTCTAACCCAATTGATGCCCGCAAACCATTTTTCTACCACTAGTATAAAATATTTTACTACACATTTACGCAATAATTATAGAACTTTAATTACTAAATTGGGCCTAGTAATAGTATAATGATGTAATTAGGAACTAATAAAATCTTACTGAGGAATAATAATCTCCTTAAGGATCGTCCATAAATGACATCACACTCGTAGGGGGGGGGGGTCCGTAATTTTGTGACTGTGTGTGGTGAGGGGGAGGGGGTTCAGATGATGCGACGTCACACTTTTGCATTATAAAAAAGCCATGTTAGAAAACTAATTTTAGACGTTATTTCGGGTTTTAGAAAACTGTTTTAATTAATTGTAAAAGGGATTGATTTAAAAAATCTATATAGACAGAGTTCAGACTAGATTTTAGAAAAATATCGATGTTTTAAGAAAAATTCAACTGCAATTTTGAGAGGGTGGGGGTGTTGTAGACTGAGGTGTGACGTCATTTTAGGGGTGGGGGGTCTGGCTTTTTGTGACGATGTTTGACGGAGGGGAAGGGGGGAGGTAAAGATCGTCAAAAAAGCGTGACGTTATTTATGGATGGCCTCCTAAATAATAAATACTTGCGGTCAGTTTAGTTTTAGTGATTAGTGTATTTGATGTTTTTGTTATTTTCGGTAACTAAACTAGATCTACTAAACACAGTTATTTATAAAAGTTAAAAAACACTTTGTTGTTTTCATTTTATTTTAATGTTAATCACTTTTAAAATGACAGCACTAGAAGCGTATAAAAATACTATCTATAAAATATAATAAAATAGAGTAATCTATCGCTTTAGCCTCATGTGTAAAATAAAGAATATCATTCATAGTTCCTGGCTACTGAAAAACTAAATGAAAGTTTAAGTTAGTTGATAAACTCAAACAAATTCAAAATTACTAAAATTAGTACAAAAAAAGCAGATTGGTATTCAGTCAACAGTAACACTAGCAAGAAATTTTACACTGGCATTTACATCTACCAGGTGTGCTGAGAAGACCGAATGAAATCATTATTTTTTGTATGAATAAATATTATGTTTTTAAAAATATTTTCTTAAAGAATATTTTAAAACTAAAAAAATGTAACACTTGAGAATGTATTAGATAAAGCTTTAAAGTGCAGATAATTTGAACAAACATTTTTTTTTAAACTCTGGTGCCACATTAAAATTTACTTTTGTACTTGTTTTAAATTTAAACCAATGCATTGTTTGGTAGTTTCCGTCTTTAAAATAAAACTTTATTGGCTGTTTAACTAATCATGATTATTTGTGTACTATACTAACTGTAATTATTTGAATTGTTGATTATAGTGGCTAATTTAATATCAAATAAAAGAAGTAGATTAATTGTGTTTTTACACGAGATGCAGTTATCTTCTTTGTTTAAAATAAATTACTATATTAAGAAATGGGTTAAAACTGATTTATAATAAAGGATGAAATATAACAGCCGTCTTTTCTTCAATATCACATTGTCCTGACTTGTCCCTTTTTGACAAAGCCATTTATCAGATCTCTTGCAAGTTACATGCCATTCCCATGTTTTACATATTGATCATTAAGTTTGATGTCAATGATAACATTTATTTTTTCAGACTACTTTGCATTTATCCTATTCACGAGCCTACACATTTATATAAAACAAACTACATGTAGAAATTATAAAATGTTGAAATTGTGAAAGTAATAAAAGTTATGTCATTTTCAGTATCATGTCTTATAGCAGGAAGGTGGGCCTAAATATCACAGAGGCAAGTTGAACAAGTGCCTAACAGCCATAATGTATTCATTTAATTAAAAACTCTTTCTAATATCCTTACATGAAAGTAAACTTCTAGTTGTAAAATGAAGCATCTTAAGTGAATAGACCATAAATTATGACTTTTTAACCTCAGAGATTTCTCCCTTATTATGATCTGGTGAGTTAGTTTGATAATTGTATAATATTATATTTTATCACATCCAATTTCTCTTAAGAAATTCATGTTAAATGGTGTTAATTTAATACATTTAAACAACAAAAATATAAGAATCATTAAATAATTTTTAGCCTATATTAGTTATTCAGGATAACAAATCTATCAAAAGCATTATTGAATAATTATATGACTATTTTAAGATTCAAAACAAATGATATAAAATATTAATATTTATAAAATAATTATAGAACTGAATGATTTGATCAAAGCAATATAACCATTTTGAAAGTGATTTAGATACAAATACAGATATAGTTCCTTTATAAACCTAATATTATGTTTGTAAATGTAAATTTAATAAAAAATTTATACATCCGGGAATCAGATATAAAGAAAGAAATAGACAGTATCTGTTACTATTTTAAAGCTAACATTAGAAAATTAAATATTAGATTGTCAAATAATCAATCTGACTTAAACAAAACAATATAAACTTTATAAAAGTTGACAATAAATACAAAAAGTTTCTTATAAAATACAATGACTTTGTAACAATCAATATTGTGAGTTATCCAAGAATAGTTTCAAGCAAGTAAGTAAAAACAAATATTCTCCAGCTAGCTTAACTAATCAAGTAAGCTCTACCTATTAGAACATTGTGGACTATGTTAAGTCTGCATAAATTGTAGACATAAAATACCAAAATAAAATAATTAAAATAATAACGCTCACTGAGATCACAGTTATAAAAAAATCATAATAAATTATAACACACCACTAAATATATAAGTACAGATGGTGGTTTAACAATCATCTCATTTTACTTACACCGGGTTTATAAACTTATAGTTATACTTTTCAGTAACTAATTTTATATAAATACTTTATAATTTGTTATATGCTTGTTGGTGTAAAAGCCATATACTCAATACTTTACTTTTGTATATTACTATTAAATAAATAAAATATAACACAGTATTATTATGTTGTATTAAAAAATGTCATGTTTATACTGTAAAAAATAAAATTTCTAGGTAAAATTAGTTAGTTCTATGAGCTCTCAAATATACAATTTACATTTAGATATTCTAAAGGTCTACAGTTGATTTCTTTTTGCATGTGACCTTGAAATATGGGGGACTTGTGTGGATATCACTTCCACCAGTTTAAGTATTGTGCCAGAGACATGAAACAAACTAACAGATAGCAGCTTAAATAAAAATATCTATGCCACATTCTCACTCTCAATGGCTGATTTTTCAAAGTACTGTGGCACATAGATTTTACAGTTGAAAAATCTCCCAAGTACCACTAAACATAAAAGAATTTTCATTTTATGCTAAAAAGTTTATGGAATGTGATGTACAATACTGAATTAAAGTAAATGGTAAAGTACAATATTTTAAAATTTGAGCTTTGTAAAACCACCGAAAACATGAACTTTTTAAAACTTAAACAGGCTGAAATGACCTGTACGAGTAATAATTGTGTTTATATCTAACTTAAAGTATAATAAAAAATTAAATTTAACATTAAAAAGGAGGGAGTAAGAAAAAAAATTACTAAGCTTTTTAAAACTGCACACAAAATAAATGTGTTTGTCTACAAATATGTAAATGGGGAGATTAATTAGATAAACCAGGATTCTTGTTGAGAAATAATTGCTATAATATATAAGTTATATGGTAGGTAATATTCTTTTAGAAAATAAATTTTCATTGTTTTCATTGTTAAATACTGAATAGGATTTAAAAAAAACATAAATCTAAACAGGTTAACGAGGAGTACTTTTGAAGAACAGTTTTCCTTGTTGCAACTGATTATGAGACTCTTAATGACATTTTTAACAAGCTAAAGAGATATATAAACTTCTATATTTATTGCTTTATCATAAATGTGTTCATCGGAATGTTGCAAGTTAACATTTCCGGCAAAAATAAGTTTTAAAAATCCAGAAAGGCATTTAAATATTTAGGACCAGGATTAAAACTTTCCAACAAGAAGGTCAATTTCTTTCTCAATTTCTTGCTTTCTTTTCACCAAATCATCTTTAAGCCTTGGATGGTACTGTATTCAAAGAGTAGAATGTTAATTTTAAATGTTGAACATAGACAAAATAAGTGTTATTTATGATCAGAAAATATTAATATAAAAATAGCAACTAAAAGAAAAGCAGCAATCTAGATCTAAAAACACATCTTTTGAGGTGTGTAACAGTTAAATGTAGATGAATGTATGTTTCGAATGGGTATCTTAAAAAGGCGATATGGATCTAAAATGAAAGGTGGGTGTGCGCATGCGCTAAGGAAAGGAAGCGAGAGGTAAATAGCGCGGGAACAACATGGCGATGTTTGCAGTGAAGGTGTTGTACATATGAACTAATAAATTATAGAAATTAACGGAACAAGGGTTGATTTTTGTTTTGAGTGTGTGCCATGAAATAGGTAGGAGAAAAAGCCTGTGACAAGGTGCAAATGTTTTCTAAAATAAATAAATCAATTGCTATTTATATCATGATTATCGTGTACAAAAATAAGATAAACTATACATTACCCTCGCTTGCTCTATTTTTCTTAGAATGTCAAAGCGCTGTACTATAAGTATTGGAAGATTACTAGGAATTTGTTTCTGCAATCGACTTGTATTAACAATAGTTGTTGCCTTAACACGCAATGGGACTGCTCCGGCTTTGGGTGGTTCTTCAAGTGAGATGCCAAACCCTCTTGGTCCTGAAAAGCTGAATCCAATGTAAAAATAAACTTTTTTCTGCCACATATTCCGTTTGGTGACTTTATGAGATGTTGGAATAATGATTTCAAAATTATTTCCCTCTTTAGTTTTAATGTTGTAAGTTATATTTTCACCTCCATGTTGCAGAAGACCAGTTTGGAGCTGCAGCTTTTCTCGCACACCTGGTAGACGCCATTTTTCTCTGAGGGATGCGTCATTCATAACTTCTAGCGAGTCCTGGTGTACAATGTCATATAATGGTCTCCCATTTCCAAGAAAGAAGAGAGTTGTGTCTTTTCTTTTTATTCGAAGCTGTTCACGCTCAAATTTGGGATAATTAGTTTTAAATGCCTCATGCCATTTAGTAAGAGCATTTATTAGGTTAATAGGTAGACAGAGTTCATACTCTTGTCGTTCTTGAGTAGGAAAGTTGTAGAGAACGAAATATAAATAGGGTTCTAAATACCAACGATTCGTTTCAGATGGTTTGCTTTCAAGGTATAGTTTTTTGCTCCATTCTAAGATATTCTCATATTTTAGTCCTGGTGGTGGTTCATCATCCAATAAAAGAACTGTCACTGTGTCCAGCATTGCTCGCAGATCGTCAAATCTGCATGAAGCTGAATTAACATTTTTCAGGAGAAGATCATAGATACTTAAAAGTGTATCTTGCTTCCGTTCTTGTCTCATTTTAAGCAAGAGGTGGAGTGATGTGGCGCCCAAATTTCTCGCTCGCCTATAGCGGTATTCACACTTGTCTTCTTCATTAAGATTGAGTGGTGCAACATCAGTTGTTTCACCAAAATGAGCATCCAAATTCTCCTTTAAACCAAGTAGGGACTTTTTGTTAAAATCAGCATTGGGTGTTATGACATCTAAGTTGATGCTGCCTTTCATTTGAAGATATTCCTCATCCAATCTCCGCATGGCTTCACTTGAATATTTTTCAAGATGTTTCAAAAACTCAGTCTCACTTTTATCAAAACAGCTTAGTTGGTAATTAGGATCAACTAAGAAGTCATGTAAATTACCCTTACTGAAAGTTGGGCAAAGCTCTAAGGCACTTAACAGAATAACTATTGCGCGTAGTTCCCCAAAATAACCAGCGAAATTGTTTTCTCCATTAGTGGTCACTTCACGCTCACTTTTCCTTTGCTCATGTCTAAAACAATCAATGCATTTTTCAGCAAGTTGAATTAGCTCATGAATTTCTTTCTCTGCAAATCCCTCAGCTTTATCCAGAGATTTCTGTGAATCTATTTTGTTATACATTTGGTTCTTAAAAACCTGGCCATACGTGTCCCAGAGAAAAGAACAATTCGGGAGCATTCCTGTGGCTCTTTTAGCAAAATATTCAGCCTTGTCCCAGTTTTTTAACTCTATGTAAAACCTGGCTATAAGCTGGGCCGTAAAAGGATCATGGTTTAACTCAAATAAATCAACCAATAGCCCCACAGCTGTTTCTGCTGCCTCGTTTTTTTGGACAGTTAATATGAACTGTGAAAATTTGTGCTTTTTTTTCCCGTCAGGCATGAACTCGCGCTTTTTCATGACACTGTTAATGACAGACTGAAGGTGTTTGGCATCGTAGCTGGTTTGATCAAATACCCCAGAGTTCATTAGCTGATGCATAATTTCACTTTCACTTTGATTTGTGCGTTCTTTCATTTTATTTAAAATTTCAAGAGCAATTATTTTATTAAAGACTCTTAATGATTTTCTTGCTCTCCCCGGGTGGTTTTTGTTTGAAGACAAATTGAGAAGTACTTTGACAGCTTGGCTGAGGTTAGCTTCCCAGCTGATGTTTCTCGAATATGGCTTTACTTGTCTATGTCCTCGTTGCTCATAGATAATTCTATCTAGGCACGACACTCGAATGGGCTTGAAATCAGGATCATAGTTGTTTAACAGTGAAACTATAGTCAAGAGCTTCACTTCCTTAGGTTCCTTTACGTCATCAGAAAACTCTTTCACTACTTTAGAAACATAATCCTTGTCGAAGTTCTTTCTTAAGATATTGAATGAAATTAGAAATTTAGGATTGACATGTTTTTCTTTATTTTTTTCAAATTGTGAGGTGAGTTTTTCATTTTTTTCTTTAAACCAGTGTAGTTCCTCACGTGAGAGTTCTTGGCGCAGGGAGATAATTTTACTTTTCAACTGTTTTGGTAAAGATGCTCTTCTAACACATAAAATGATTGTACAGTAAACTTGAAATGGATGCTCATCTTCATCCCTCCACCGTCTTCTTCCCCGCTCCTCCAGCTTTTCTCTAAGCATAATATATTTATCTTCATCTTCATTGTCTATCAGAACCAGCAGCGGTCTTGGAGTTTTGTCATCATATGCTCTAATCTCATCTAACTGTTCCCCTGTCTGGTCAGTAATTGTGTTAACAACACAGCATCTGTACTGTTTGCGCAAATCCCAAAGTATCTGTCTCGCTGAAGTTGTCCCCCCTGACCCTGGTTGATGCATCAATACCACTGTGGTAACTTTATCTTCTTCTCCCTTTTCATTAAGAGCGGCGTCAACTGACACCTTGAACTCATCATGAATACGTCGTTTCAAAACCTGATCATGAAAGTAGAAATTTAACCAGCTAACCTGCTCACCTCTATAAAAGTTTTCCTCTGCTTGTTTCATTTTATTCTTCACTTCTTTTTTGTCCTCAGAAATTTCAAACTCTCCTGCGGAAAGCAAATCAATGTCACTCCAGTCTTTAAGTTTCTTCTGTTTCACCTCTACTAAAGCTCCGTTAGAGCAGGGTAAGGTGCATTTATTTGTGTCTTGTTTCACTATCATATTGTTAACTGTTTCATTGACTTGATGCCATGGCATGCCCACGACGCATCTGTCTAGATCTGCTTTATCCACTCTACACCGAGACAACATCTGGTCTTTCCAGAGCTTGGCTATGTTTTCTGTTTCTGCAATGAGAACCCACTGTTCAGGAAATTTAGTCAAAATTTCATCACAGGCCTCGATCGTGGCGCTGTAGTTCTTGGAAAACAAGAAGATGATTATAATTATCCTGTCAACATCAAAATTATCTTTATACACATTTAAAGTATTCTGGAATGCAGTTCTTCTGTTCTTATTCCAGTTTTTTGGTTCCATTTCAAGGAAATTCATTGCCTCATAACCATTGCAAAATATCCAAGAAATGCGATTTTCATTACCAAGGCTATCTACAAAACTGTTATAATCCTCAAGTTTTGGTATAAGATTTCTATCAAAGTTATCAGTGGTTAGGACCCTCATCTCTTCATTTTGTTGGCTGTCTAAATTATGGTAAAGGCCATCTGTAGATCCCTTGGGGTCAAAGTCAAATACAACTTCAGGGTCCAGCTTTTTGATGAAGTTCATGTTTTGCAGTAGATACTCCTGATGCATGTGGCTATCAATGGGACTTGTCACTAAGAAAAAATAGACACCATCTTCAATAACTTCAGGCCCTCCTGTTAACCAGTTGCGTAACTTTATTCTTAGATTAGCTGGTGGTTCACAGCTTTGAAGACTTTCTTCTTGTTTTCTTTGCTCAATAATACGCTGTTGGTCTCTTTCATAGTCTATCAAATTTTCAGCAGATGCAACCATGGGTTCACCGTCTTCAGAGAATCTAAAAACTGCTGTTTTTTCCTTATGATTTTTGGTATGGTTCGGTAGGTGCTTCAGCTTTGTCCTAATTATAGCTTTATCTAAAACAACACTTGTGGGTACAACATCAACCTCAACAACAAAATTCTGAGCCTGATTTCTGCCAACGACTGGTATAAATCTGGCGTCTCTAACTGTACTAGAAATAATATTTTTCTGACTGTCGGCAAAAGATTTTTTTAGAAAACTATTGATCTCCATCTGACATTCTGTTTTATCCAAGCTCATTCCAACTATTTCCCCAGCTTTGTGCTTTTCAGATGCCCATGGGGAAATACCGAAGAAAATTGTACCATTTCTTCTGTCATTGAGACACGCTGATGCAAAAGGAACTACTTCAGCTGCCATCAACTCCAAGACAGTGTCCGCATCTTCTCCTTCTATTAAATGAAACCTCCGTATTGGTGTTGTTTTCTTGCCTCTTGCGTTCAATGAAACATCCACACAATGACCTAAATTATATTTGTCTGTGACCTCGACATCATGGTCAAAACTACGGAAATGATCAGGAAGAACAACCTCTTCGCTTTTTCTTTGCATTTCAGAAGAATCAGTTTCTAAATTGTCTTTTATCAACATGGTTAGCAATCTTTTCATACCAAAGTTTGATGAGGGTAAAATTGTAACAAAATCTTCCTCTTTCATTGTTATGAAGATTTTTCCAGATATGCCTTCTGTTTCAAAGTTGGCAAGTTCTTCAGTATTGTAATCATTTTGAGTAAATTGTGTGGTAAGGTAGTTTCTTAGCTCCGAAGGTTTCATATCTCTGAGTTTCCTCTCTATTAAAGATGTATTGTAAAAAAAAAATTATTTTTTTAAAATTAGCTTTTCTAGAACTGTCAAAAATATTATAATTATTGAAATGCTATTAAAAATCTAAATAATAAAATTTAATTAAAGAAGAAGTGATTTAGAAGAAAAATGCAGCAATGAATATGAAAATGATGATAATGTTACTAAACTGCTAGACTCCTCCAATGTCTTTTTACAGTTATAAAAATATTAACCTGCAGGTTCCTGTTGCACCTGGCCTGCTGCCTGTTCTTGGGGGCGAACAATACCTAAATTCTTGAAGGATCTTAGAAAAATAAAACATTAACTGAAAATCAAACACAAGTTTGATAAATAGGAGTGATCAACATTCTAGTTAGATGGCTAAACCATTATATTATTTCATAGCTTTTTTTTTTTTTGTGACATGTCCATAAAGCTTCACATAATACTGAAACCTTAACAGTAATTGAAGGGCTCAGTGGAAAAAGTACTTAAGTGTATTTTGAGAGTTTTGAGAAAAATGAGTGCAAAGTTTTTAAATTGAAGCTGAAATACCAAAACAGCTGATGCAAAGTATTCGAATTAAGCTACTTCGGTACATTTCCCATGGCCCAAATTTACAGGGATGTTTAAGGGTAGGTAATCGAATAATATACCGGTCTTAACTCATTTTTGAAAAAATGTAACTTAAGTACTTTTTCCACTGAGCCCTTCAATTGATCTTAAGGATCAGTTAACAATCAAGTCATAAATACATACATACAAAGGATGCATTATATGAATGGACATGATCTTAAAATGTTATTAATCAATAATTTGCTTTTAAAATAAACATTCAGGTAATGAAAAACTACTTGAATTCTAATAATTTCAACCTAGAAATGAAAGTCAGAGAAAAACAAAACTTCTTTCTGCAGCTTCAAGAAGCCATTTTGGAAAACTAAACTTTGGAGCTAACACAACAAAGCTACAAAATAAGACAGATAAAACAAAACTTACATGACAGGCTTAGCTTTCTTTCTCTCCCTTCTCTTTTCTTGAATGACCTCTACGCCAACAAATTCATTTTTTATAAAATTTGAAATTTCTGTGTTTGACCACTGGTTATGGTGGAGAAACACACCCTGGGAATCTAATATTTCCCTTACATCAGCTAACGATACAATTTCTCCTACTTTGTTTGTTAAGAACTTATGTAAGGTATCTCTGACTTTTTCATGAACCATGAGGGAATCCCCTGAAAAAAAAAAAAATTTTGATTATTGATACTAATAGTGTGTGGATATATATACATATGTATATGAATATAATATATATGTATATATATATATATATATATATATATATATATATATATATATATATATATATATATATATATATATATATATATATATATATATATATTCATATATATATATATATATTCATATATATATATATATATATATATATATATATATTCATATATATATATATATATATATATATATATATATATATATATATATATATATATATATATATATATATATATATATATATATATATATATATATATATAATATCTTTATATATAATTCTCTTCTTGGAGACGTTAGAAAACACCAAGCTGTAAGCGCCTTGCAGTCCCCTCTCTTTCTCTCTAGGAAGTCTGGTGAGCTGTGGTTCACACTAAATGTTTACAATCGTAGAGCCGGGTTTAGTGACGGCTATTAGGGGCAGATAATGTAGTTTGAAACGATTTTAAACTAATAGGGGAGGTAACAAAGAGGAGATTGCTTTCAAGAGGGGGGGTGTATGGGGTAGGGGTTGGGGGAAAGGAGGGGGGTATCGTCCTTCACGACCATCTGATAGTGTTTTAAAGCAAATTTTTTCTTTGGCAGCATTGGTACTGTCGAATTCTAAAATTATGAATTACTGAAAAGTAGAAAATAAAACAACTAAATAGTGGCGTATGATATGCCGCGGTCGGCTCGTATATATAAATTTATGTGCATTACTGCCAAAGCTTAAAGTCCGCCAGTGCATGCATTGGTTTGCCAAAGATGCATGCATTAGCCAGTCAATTTGTGCATTAACCAATGTAACATCTCACTGACCGTCCAGAGTCTTTTTTCTTGATTTCGGACATTAGCCGGCCCAGGAAAAAGTATTGTGGTCCAGTTGCACTTAAGGCAACTATCATACAATAACATGATTTAAGCATACACTCTAGGGGATAATAAGATTGAGAAATCTCAATAATAAAGAGTTTTAATAATTGCACTCACTTTCAAAACATAGGGAGCTATCAGCTGAGCTTTCTGTGTTGGTTATCTCATCAACTAAGTATTTTAATTCTGGATCTTTTTCCATAGCTTCCATCAGGTATCTAGTAAATTATGTACAGGTATGTATTATTGTTAAAACAATATACACCAAATATGATTAGTTATTTTGTCAAGTAATAGTTGAAAATAATGAAAATAACTTATTTTAGGTGTCTTCACAAACCCAGGAGATGGAGGTTCAACAAATGTGACATAGCTTATAATGTTCATTTCTTTTTTTAAAGATGATGAAACAATGTTGTTTTCAGTTAGAATCAAAGATTTTTAGTGGTGTTATTTTTTTTTTATCTGCAACAGTTGGCTTAATGCATAAATATTAATGTTTCCAAAAAAATAAATAAAACGATACTCTTTACACTATCTAATTTCAAACACATTAATGAATTATCCTGATGGTATTAGGGTATGTAAAAATTCAATATGACTAAAATTATCAATTAAATGTATTATTCAAACAATATAGGACTTGACATTTATTAAGGATTGTTTCAAAATACTAATCAAAACAATATCAGGCTTAGAGTAGGCTAAAATACTTTCAATGATTACAGACTGTTTTGTCAGTGTGAGTGGAAAAATGCTGTAGCACAACAGGAAACTGTTAAAACCAGCCATATTCAAAGCAACAAAGGGTACACACATTTGAAAATTATTATACTCTAGTATCATATGAAAAACCGGTAGTAGATAGTACTGCTACAAAAAGAAAATGAATACACTTCTTTTTAATGTTATTATGTAAAAGTAAAGTTTCCCTTTCAAACCTGACAGTCTATGGGGCAAGTGAAGTAGAGTTTTACTTGTTTCTGTGACCTCGGCATATGAAGAGATTGTGTGGTCAGCACTATGCCCAGCCGCCTTTACTTCCCTAACGTGAGTTAGGTACCCATCAGAGTTGTGTGGACTCAGGGACGGTCTACTGACTTGAACCCGGATTCCAACTTGAGACTTATGGGTTAGCAGTCCAGCTCTCTACCACTAGACCACTCCGACCCTTAATGTTATTATGTACCCTACCTAAAACCATTCTTTTTCTTGTTCAAAATGATTAGAAGCTGTTCCATTTCATCAGCAGTGGTGCCAGCTTTCTGGACTTTTTCTTTGTCATTGTAAGAGAGAACCTCAATCTGAAATAAAGTAGAAAATAAAGCCAGGAAATAGCACATTTTATGAAAGAAAATTTTATTTTAAGAAACAGTTGAGGACATTCTTTAGTAAATTTTACCTGAAAAAGATAAATGCAGATTTCTTTAGAAGGAACTCGCAGGAGTTTACTCCAGTTCTTCCTCAATTTCTGCCACTCCTGAGCATTCATTTTTTTTAAAGTAACTAAAAAATAAAATTGAAAAAATTAGTACTTCAGTATATGTTCTAACGATAGCATTGAGGCTTACTAAAAGAAATACTTAAATTTTTAAACTTAAGGAATAAAACTGGATTTCCTTCTTTCTTTGGAGCACATGACTTTTCAGTAGTGAGTAGGCCTAATTACAAGTGAAATAAGGTAATCTCTTATCAGAGAATCTAATTTGGACACGCTGCAAAAGGCTCATCCAAATGTGACACAACAGGCGCTTGAGTGGAACCCCCAAGGGAAGCGGAAGAGAGGTCGCCCAAGACAGACCTGGAGGCGGTGTCTTCTCGAAGAAATGAAGCCAACAGGGATGTCTTGGGAGACTGCAAAATTAAAAGCCGGGGATCGGACGAAATGGAAGGAAAAAGGTGGAGGCCATACGTTCCATTAGGAACAACGAGGACTAAGTCAAGTCAAAAGATTACAATAATAAAAACATGAAAGAGTTAAACTTAAAAAGTAGAAGAGGGGGGGGGGGGCACTGGTAAAAGTTAGCCTACATATTGTGCCCCCCAGAAGAGATGCCTGAAACACTAGCCAATTATAAAAAAATATAAGAAGTCTACCTAAAAAATATATCCTTATATATTAAGGGGTCGTCCATAAATGACGGCACACATAGGCATAGGGGGAATTCGTAAGTTTGTGACAATGTGTGATGCCACACTTAAATTGCTTTATTTAATATTGTATTGTTGTAAACATACTCAAAAAATGGAAAATTACATACTGCGTCCTGCTAAACTAATTTAATTAATTTGAAGAAAATCATGCAGGGTAAAACAAAATCTTCAAAAAATAACTTGATTGAGACGACAGCTAACTAAGCCCGCCCATTTTGCCCGCTGTGTAGGCCCTATTTGAATTGGAAGAAATCTAACAGGCACACTTCTGCTGAACAGCAGTGAACGGTCAATCACGTCACAACAACACTCCTTATTAAAAACTAACCCACAGTATCGCTGAGTATCAGTCATATAATCTAAGCCATTTAAAAACAAACGCATTTTTTCACAAATCATTTTCTAGGCTACAAATTAAATTTGGTAGAAATCTAACAGGCACACTTCTGCTGAACAGCAGTGAACGGTCAATCACGTCACAACAACACTCCTTATTAAAAACTAACCCACAGTATCGCTGAGTATCAGTCATATAATCTAAGCCATTTAAAAACAAACGCATTTTTTCACAAATCATTTTCTAGGCTACAAATTAAATTTGGTAGGCTAAATAAAATCGGTATCAAGTTTAAGTTAAAAAAATGTAGTTTTTAACTGTTTATGATTATGTCATCTTGAACAATAATGACAATATAGAATCTACTAAAATATAAAATAGGCCCTAATACTAAAACTACTTAAAAATAATAAAAACTATGTTAAAGTAATTTAAAAGTAAAAGTAAGGGTGTAATACTCTACTGAGATTAAACTGAGTTTTAGTTTTATGTTTTCACTTTTCAAGATAAAGTTTTGGTTTAGAAATCTAGAGTTTACTTTCCTACTCAGTTTAGAGATTAGATTGATTCTCTAATTCACTAATTCAGTAGTAGATATCTAATTGAAGTAAGCCTAATTGAGTAGTGTAGCCTAAGTAAATTCATTAGCAAGTTTAGATTGATGCAATTGAAAATCATTCGTTACTTTAATTAAGTTATTAAAATCAAGATTTAGAATAATTTAGATCCATCTAGAATCTAGATAGTAGATAGAATCTAGATCTAGATCTAGAATCCAGAGCAGTTGCGATAACAAGTTGGATTGCCTGTTTCGTTTTCAATTTCTTGGAAAAACGGTTTGTGTAAAAACCGAAAAACTATTTTTTCCCGTGCGTTTTAAATCTGTGGTGATTTTTTTAAACTTACATATTTAAACAAGAGTAAACCTTATATACGTATGCTTTTTTTTCTAGTTTAGGCCTTTATTAAAAATGACTGATAATGAATATCCTACGGGCTCGCGATAACTACCCTTTTCACACTATCCATAGAAACTAATGTTTACAAGCAAGAGGAGCTATATTTAACACTAGCATCTTATTACGCTGCAATTACGCGATTGTAGGAAAAAAAAGTCACAGGAAAAAAAAACAGGAAAAAAAAAACGCAGAAAAAAAGTCACAGGAAAAAAGTCACAGGAAAAAAAGTCACAAATATATATTTGAATGGAATGTGTTAATATTTTTATGAATTTTATATTTAGAGAGTGCAAATTAACTTAGGATAATTTAAATGTAATGTAATGTGTGTAGGTTGTATACGCATGGTAACTTTTATAATTCATCTAAAAATATTTAGTATGAAGTATGTAGATTGTAATTATGTAAAACATAATATTGATAGCATTTATAGAATGTTCCAACGTCCTCGGTTTTCATTGTGTTTTTTTAAAAAAAATACTAACATTAAACTACCGTGAAATGGTAAGTTCATCTGACTTGCTGCCCTCAACTCATCGCTCGCAACAATAGTTATGTTTAGTTCAACTTAAACCACCTTTACTGCACACATTTATCACGCTCATTACATAACAAAGCATAGTATCACAACAGAAAGCCGACAAGGTTCAAAGGCTGTCATTGACACAAAACGCCAACAACACACAATATATTCGGACAAGGCCGACTGAGGAGAGGCCGACCAGAGAAAAGCCTACGGCAAAACATATGCAAAATACAATGATGTGCCTAAATTTCTTTTATAATTAGCTTTTCTACCGTGTATTTAACTAAGTACTAACAAAAGTTGAGATGGTTGTGTAAATTATCTTAGAGTATTTTACTTACAATTGTTATAAACCATAATGCTTTAAAAATAATATATGCTATAAAAAATATGACCCACAACAATAAACATACAAAATGGTACAATTTTTAACAAATAAATCAAAATATTTCTGAAAACATGTTTGTGACTTTTTTCTGTGACTTTATTTCTGTGACTTTTTTCCGATAAATTTTTTGCATTGTGACTTTTTTTTCTGTGACTTTTTTTTCCTAGCAAAAACTGTGACTTTTTTCTGTTTTTTTTTTTTTCCTGTGACTTTTTTTTCCGTTCACCAATTACGCATGCTATAACTATAACTAAAAGGTTCGGTAGATCCACATAATTTTAAAGACATCACTTCAGAATAGAGTCACTAGATCAGTTAGGCCTACCCACAACATTCCATTCAACAGTGCGACTTCAGATGAAGAAAGCTGAAAAAAAAAAAACCCCTCGTTTTTAATTTATTTCACTAACTGCCCTATCTGTAGTCAGTGGCGTAGCGAGGTCGGGTGTCACCCGGTGCGGCACTTAATGGTGTCACCCCCCAGAGGCATTTTCGATTTGCACCCCCCCCCCCTCAAGTTTTTCTCTATATATTTTGCTATTTTTTGCCTTGGTGTCACCCCCCTAAATGGTGTAACCCGGTGCGGTCCGCCCCCCCCCCCGCCCCCCCCCCTCGTTACGCCCCTGTCTGTAGGTATGTCAAACTGCCGTAAAAAACGCTTTTTTCGCCCGCGTCGCCCAAATATAGTAGCTTCTCATTTTATAGTTTCGATAATAAAAAGGGCTCGTATAATAATAACCTTGGTACCATTAAAAAGTAGATTTTAAGCCCTCTAATTATGTGTAATTTTTTTTATTGTTGTTGATATTGAACAATATATCTCATTTACCAATTGAAAACTATCAACCGAGATGATTTTTCAACGGCAGTCGAGTAACGGAGTTTGACCCCTCTCGCATTCGACTCGCGGGCCTTTTTTGACCGTTTAACGCACGGGTTCCCAACCTGGGGGTCGCGACCCCCCTGAAGGGGGGGGGGGTCTTTCTGGGGGGTCGCCAACTGGTATACTAAACCTTAGTAATTTGAAACACAACATAAATATTTAGAAGAATTTTTGAAATTCGGCTTCATTAACCCTTTATTTACGGAATTAGGTTCTGAATGAAATTTGTTCTTAAACAATGTGTTATCATATTGCTTTTGGCACATTTAAAGCATATGTCGAAGGAAATTTCGTTTAGATAATTTTTAATGGCCCAAACAGATATTGGTACTTATAAGTACCGTCAGGAATGTAGGACATTTTTTCCAAAAAAATTTTTTTTTACAAAACTGGAACAAACGATATAATTTATTAATTAATAACATGGCAATTATTATAGAAGTAATTTTTGTAATTTTCACACATAAATACAGCACAAAAGTATATTTTGAGTACGTTTTTTATTGGATTTTTCTGTCGGAACACATCTTACACCTCAAACACAGCAAAAGTTGCTGACAAGTCATGCTCCCTCATTCTTGTGTGTTGTCATTCTGGTGTAGCAACGGTTGCCGGACTTAACCTGCTTTTGCTGGAAGCTTCCAATTGCTATTACTTACAATGAGCCGCATAAACAAACAAAAGCCTAGTCATTCAGTACACAGCTACTAGTAATACTTGTATAATTATAGCCTACTGGAATGTTATGACACGTCTACACTACAGTCTAAAGTTCACAAATAGAAGTGAGCGCAATGTGTTTAGGATAGCCGAAGTGACCTACTGTTTCCTGTTTACGGATTAAAATTTACCATATAGATCTATACTATATGCAGAAGTATGGACGATTACTAGTCTACAGGTATACATTACGTAAACACTAGTTCTTGTAGGCAAGACAGTTTTTTGCAGTGAATATAAATAACAAATTAAATCTTACTACTAGAACTAGGCTTTGGTATACACATGAAGTATATTAAATCTAGTAAACGAGCCTGCAACTGCTACCTTTATTCTTGTTATTCTTTTACTACTAGAAATCAACATGTAATTATAATATTTCTTAGGTAAACCATTTGCTAACCTTATAAATGTGTAGATATCATTTTTTGAGTACATTTCGATAATTAATTATCAAAATAATATTTATGTCACTCCACATTGAAAACTGCGATTTCCTAAAAATCCTAAAAAAATGACCGTGTGCCCTGACGGTACTTATAAGTCCACTTGTAAACATCGATCTAATACAAAGACAGTTTGATTAAAATTGTATAACTAGAAGTTAAACGCATTTGCCTGAATATTGGAGATGCCAATAAAAAATATTTGGGGATGAAAACTTCAAGAATAATGTAAAACAAAGGGAAATCAGGAACGTGTATGAGAACTATACTGAACAATTGTGAACTACCGATACAGCAAGACATTGAACATGGCGCCACATCAAAAATTTTCAAAAAACATCGATCCCTCCAACTACCGGCGACTCAGGTCAGATAACACTATTAATTACATCAATAATTTTTAAAATTCGTGTTAAATTAAAAATAATACAGGCACTTAATTAAAGTGGTACTTATAAGTACCGTCAGTAGATAAAGGGTTAACATCACTGGAAATGTAATAGAGAAGAAACAAAGCGCACTGTACAAAGTTGTTCTCAGTCACGAATCTATGAAATCTTCAAAACTAAAACGTCATTTGAGACAAGTCATTCGGAACACACCGGAAATATATGGAGTTCTTTCGTCGGTAAGAAGCTAGTTGCAGACGCCAGAGACTTGATCGAACAGGATGTTTTCACCAGCATTAGTGCAAGCATCAAATGAAGTCGCGATAGAAAACGCCAAGCAAAAAAAAAAAAAAAAAACAATAGGAGAAAATCTCACCAAACGCTTCATGTACTTAAATGTTAAATAACACATTTTTATTGAAATTACGCTTTCACCATTGTTTGCTTTTCAAGTTGATAAATTAACAGACGTGAGTTCGTGTTCGCAGTTGTTGTGTCTATATTCATGCGGATGATAGCAAAGAAGAGTTGCTCTTTTGTGAAGATAACATGGAGAAAATAAATACCTTTTTGAAACTGGATGATTAAAATGGGTTAGAACGGCTGTGGGGGTTTGTACGGATGGCGCGCCATCTATGTTTAGCTCAAAATCGGGCTTTCAGAAAACAAAAAAGATTTAGCTCCCTAACCACTACCCTAACCAATTGACATCAAGAGTTCATTGCTAGTATAAGGCGTAAATTATATAAAATCTGGAACCTTCAAAGAACTGAGAAAAAACATTAATATAGATCACGAGGTTCTATTCTTCTACACTACAGTACGCTGGCTGTCAAACGAAATGTTGTAAATTGTGTTGTTTATTGAAATCTGAAATCAAATTGTTCTTGGAAGTGCAAAGGAAACATGACTTTTTGGTATACTTAAATCGACATAGAGTGGTGGTTGGAGAGAGTACCATACCTAGCAGATGTGTTCGAACATCAAGATAAGCTTAACCTGAAGCTTCAGGTAAAATGAACGGATATTATAACTTTCCATGATAATCTCGGGGTACTTTTATCAAAACTGCAAAATCGGCGAAGAAAATAAATCTTGGAAATATTGTAAATTTGAGTTATTTAAAATTTCGAAAGAAGCGATTTCTGGGCATCTTGAATCTCTTGAAAACGGACAGCATCGCTATTTCTCTGAGCTGAAAAAAAAAAGAATCTGCATTTACGCATTACCTATTCTCTTCTTCCCTTGATGTTGCCAGCATTCCCGTTGAATTACAAGATGAGTTCTTTTATTTGCAGAATGATTCCGAGTAAGATGAAAAACGGCAGACACAATTTTGGTGTAGTATTCACCATTCGTACCCAAACATAAGATTGATTGACTTTTCGAGAATACATTTTCAACACTATTCTTCGATTAAAAACAAAATTAAGATAATTATAATGACATAGGTTGGCGTTAA